GTTGTTATGTTTATTACAGCCCTAGGTGGTACTGTCGGTCCAGAAGACATTGGGGTTGCAATTGACCAGGGAAGGGCTTTTACTGCAACCCAAAGTAGTGAGTTAGAGCTTGAAGTCTAAGGTCCTGCTTCTACTGAAGTCTTCAGGATGGTCTCCCCCATTAGCTTAATCCTACCCCCAATTCATCAAACGCTTAAGAAGTCAAGGGTTCTAAGAGGTCTTTAGAGGGATTTCAGGTGGTGACTGTGAATAATGCGCTGGTTGCTCTAGCCTCCCCTTAAGGCATCTCAGTGTGAGGTCAAACTCATTCTTCTATGCTCACGGGCCTTGTGGAAAGGCCCTGTGCTCAGCAATGCGATCTGCGCGTACTCCTCCCCCTTCCATGAGCAAAGATAAAGCACTCGTGGACTTAATTTAGGTATTGACTTGTTCTGCTCTTGTCCTTCTAATTCCTTTTTTGCCTCTCGTTTCTGACCTTACTTTATTTTCTTCAGCTAGCTTCGTTGAAGGCAGTGCCCACTGGAACCCTTCTAACCCATATTCATGTCCCTGAAACGGATGTGGTGTTAGATGCTTAGAGGGTCATGCAGTTCCAACTCAACTGTGATCCACTCCTCATTCTTGAACAAAATTTTAAGGAGATGATTGGGCTCTTAAGGTTGTGAAAGGGCGATCTCTATGTTTGAGTTAGCACTCCTTCAAGCTCAAGTCCCGGTATGTTATGGCATCATTAACTGTTGCCATACAGAACTGCCCCTCCTGTCAGAATATTTGAAAAATAATTGATCTGTGAGAGATGAGTAGCTTGTCGCTAAGACTTGATGACTGCTACCACTGATCGAGTCTAGGAGATTGCCCCTCATATAGATCACCTCCAGGCACTACGGGCTAAGGTAGCAGATTTGAGGCATCAGCTAGCAGTAGTTGAAGAGGAGTTGGCACAAGCTGAAGTTGAAGACGGTCCAGTTGAATCTGAACTGGAGATTGCAACCAAGGTTCTAGACGAAGCATATGCCATTTTGGATGCCAAGCTTTATTTCATGCTTGAGTTTGAGATAGCCCTTACTTGCCATCAGACCCTTTTTGAGGAGCTGGACTCAACTTTGGTGACATAGGAGACCATATGTAGTCTTTGTAAATAATAAATAAATGTATTTTATTATTTCATTGTTTATTCTTTATTCCTTATTCATGTACTCTACACCCTTTGTAACACGGTTTTAAATGTAACAAAGAATAAATAATCTTCTATTATTGTGTGACTTTCGTGTGCCCTGGGGCCATTCTAAGCCTTAGGTCCTTTATTTCTTTTTCTTATAATGACGGCCAATACTTTTTCAAATATTTTTCATTTATGGCCCATATATGTGGAATCCCATCGATGCTAGCTAACATATATGTTTTCCCTTTAGTTACTTCGTTTACCTTGAACGGTCATTCCCAATTAGGCGAAAACTTATCAAGTGTCCAGTCTTTAGAACCAGGTGGTAACATAAGTTTTCATATGAGCCCACCAACCCAAAAGTGTTTCCTTTTTATTCGTTTATTATATATCCTTGAAACCTCCTTCTTTTGGGCAATCATATGATTCAACGCTTGTAAACGAATTCCATCTATCTAAATTAACTCATTCATTATAGCCTTGTTGTATTCATCAAATGGTCTTCCTAGACTGCTCACAATGCGTAATGAAGGGACTACTATTTCCATAGGCAAAATAGCCTCATGCTTATATGTTAAAACATATGAGCTCGTGCCCGTAGCCTCTCTTTTAGATGTTCGATATGCCTATAGTATCTCGGGCAATCGTATGTGCCATTCTCTAGGATTGTCTTTTTTAAAATTTCAAGGATGATCTTGTTGGAAGCTTTAGCTTGTTCATTTACCTAAGGGTAGTATGGCGAGGATGTTAATAACTTAATCCCACTCTCCTCAATAAAGGCTTTGAAATCACTTCTAGTGAACATTGTCCCCTGGTCTGTTGTGATAATTTGAGGAATCCTAAACTGAAACATGATTTATTCATGTATGAAGTTAATAATGTCATCCTGCTATACTTTCTTCATAGGGATGGCCTCTACCCATTTAGTGAAATAATCTATGGCCACTAAAATGAATGAGTGGCCTTGGATGAGATTGGATAGATCTTCCTTATTATGTCCATAGCCTATCCTCGAAAAGGCCATGATTTAATGATTGGATGCATGTCTGATACTGGCACTTGTTGTATTAGCCCGTGAGTCTGGCATTTCTTGCACCTTCTAGCATTTTTGATGCAATCTCTCATCATTGATAGCCAATAATATCTATGCCTACATACCAACCATTGCATCTACTGATAGGCCCCACATACTCCCTCATGCATCAATCTTAAGACCTCCATATAATCAGTGAAGGCCAAATATCTAAGTAATAACCATTGGGGCCTTTCTTGTATAATTCATCTCCAATTAAAATGAAGTATTGAGCATGTATCCTCATTCTGTAAGGGTATCATTGATTGAAATCTTGTAGATAACTCTTAAAATCATCTTGCCAATCTCAAGCTAGCCTTTACGAGACTGCACCGCATTATATTGTCAAACTACATTGAGCGACCGAGGGATATTCTTTCCATTACACAACAATTACCTTTCGGTGAGGTCAGGTGATAGTCTGAGCCTTGATGCTATTTGAGTCAGCTCATTAGCCTCTGAGTTTTGAGCTTGAGTAACGTGAGTCAACATTATCGTCTCGAACTCTTATAGAATCTAAGAAGCCCCAGCATAATACATTGCTAAAGCTGGGTTCATACACTTATACTCGCCAGTTAATTGTTTGTTGGTTAACTGAGAATCCCCTTCTATGACCACATAAGGGGCTTTCATTTCTTGAAAAATCTTGAGCCCTGTGAGTAGTGCTCTGTATTTTGCCTAATTGTTAGTATACTTGAAATCTAATTGAAGAGATATTATCATTTTTATCCCCATAGGAATGTTTATTACGATCCCAACCCTAAATGCCTTACAGTACTAGATTCATCGAACTTAAGCACCCAAGGCCCTAGATCTATTAAGAACACAAGTAGTTCTTGCTCCTTTTTAGGAAGCCCGACTGAGGGGTGATCAGCTAGAAAGTCTGCTAATGCTTGACTTTTACTGATTTTTGAGGTAAAAATATTAATAAGACTTCTGCTAAGGCTAAGCTCCACTTCCCTATACAGCCCATCATGATAGGCCAATTAAGCACGAATTTAATTAAATCAGAATGAGAAACCATATACACAACTGCATTTATTATATAATGCCTTAACTCAGTACAAGCATAATATAGTGCCAAACACGCTATTTCCACAACTGAGTATCTGGTTTCTATGGGAGTTAAACACCTATTTAAATAATAAACTACCTACTCACGTGCCCCATAAACATTTTGGGGTAACATACAACCTATGGACGTGGTGGTAGAAGTTAAATACAATAAAAACGGGGTGTTCTCCCTTGGGACTGCTAAGATCGGAGGCTTTGTCAAGTGCTCTTTAATCTTGTCGAAGGCCACCTAATGATATTCGGTCCAGGTGAATTCCTCAGTGCCTTTAAGTTTCAGGAGCTCAGAAAACTCTTTTGTCTTCCCTACAAGATTCGGGATGAATCGCTTGAGATAATTGACCTGTCCCAAAAATTGTTGAAGTTATTTCTTGTTGCTTGGTGCCTTTGCCTCTGAGATAGCTCGTGCTTTATTTTGATCTACTTTAATCCCCCTTCTATAAATCAGGAATCTAAGGAAATTACCTTCAGTTACACCAAAACACACTTAAGTTGGTTTAACTTAAGGCCGACCTCCCTCATTCAGAGGAAACTCATCCTTAAATGCTTAATATGATCATGTGCCTTCTTAGATTTAATCATTATATCATCAAAGTACACTTTTAGATATTTTCCTATCATATTGTGGAAGATGGCATTCATAACCTGCTGATAAGTGTTAGGCGATAAGTGTTCTGAACCTGTGTGCGCAGAGGTCCCTTCTGGTTTGTGAGAACCAACGCCTGTTTCATCAGTTCTTTTCTCTTTTTGCATCCTTGTCATCTTTGTTCTACAGGTCCCACTGGGCGTGCCAAAAATTATTTGTGGTGAATAACAAATACTAGGCATGCCAGAGACGCTGATTCTCAATTGATAACAAATGGGTCCCGAGCTTCCTTACCACAACTCGGATGTAAAAAGATACAAGGCTTTGGTAGAACAAGTGTTCGATTGTTATTGAAATGTGAAAAGATTATAGACCTAAAACTGAGAACCAAAAAAGGCTAATAAATGTAAAATTGTGAGTCGTTGATTGAGTGTTAATTAGTTTCTTCTATATTTTCTTCTTCTATTTAATGTCAGAGTAGTGATAGCCTCCTCCTTGAAACCTAGCACGTTTTGCCAAAGAACCAAGGATCTCACGAAACTCATGGCACGGTCTTTATTCCATGTCTCCATTTTAGTAACTAGCCTGTTTCATTGAGATACTTGGATGTAAATTTCAACATTACTTAAAATCGTGTCTTCGTGTCAACGGTCTAATATTTGTAGTTGATGAGATTTCGGTATGTTAAATATTTGTGGTCTTTATTGAGCTTCGATGCCGGCACCTTTCATTTATATTGGGCCTGACGCTTCAATTACTCAGTTCAACTAACTTTGTGACCTATTTGAGTGATGTTTTATATTTAGTCCAAACACAAGTGAAGCGAAAATAGAAACTTATTAGCAACAACAAAAAAAATAGAATGAAATAATTGGGAGTATATATACTAAAATGCTTTTAATTATCAACTAAATCAAATCAAATAAGATATAAAAAATAATAATTGAAAAATACTGAAAAATTTAAAAATATGATTATATTATTACATTCACAAAATCCTCTAATATTTATAATAAATTTAAATTAATTTTGTTATCAATCAATCAAAATATCAAATCATTGCGACAGGATTTAAATGGTTCCTGGTTCATTGGCATTGGCAATAGCTTCTTTAGTGACGACCACGGCAGTTAGTAGTACAGACCACATTTTCCTTTCTCTACACTCATCATCAACTCACTCCTCGCCTCGCAGCGCCGGCGTCGTCATCTTCGGAGAAGGCACCGGTCGTAGACTTCCAGTGACCTACTGTTCTTCTCTTTCTTTGTATTCATGATTTAGTTTTGTTTTCTTTCGAAAACATGATATCTCTCTGATTCTTATACCATGCTTTTCTAGTACTTGTTAGCACTCAGATGAATCTCTCTACCTTTTGTGATGGCTGGTATATGGGAAATATTTTCTATCTTTGAAGAATTTGAAAGTACTTGGAAAATAATCTTAATTCTCTAGACGATGGATGATCAAGTGTCAGTTTTTTTTTATCGGAAGTGAAACACACTCAAAAAGAATTTGATGTATGCATCAGGAATATTACTTTTTAGAGCCCTCAAAGATGGAGATGGGGAATTTCTTGTTTCACATCATAGTATTTCTTCACTTCACTTGAGGAATTTGCTGAATTATGAACGCGAGCTGAAATCAGGCGCTTTTTTCCTCCCTTGGGTTTTGGTTTTCAAAAGAGAATATGCATGATCTGAAGTCCATAATTTTCATATTAAACCAGTAGTTTCTTTTGGCTTGTTTTCAAGTACGTGCTCAATTTCTCTGTTTGCTTTCAAAGCTTGATTTCATTTGATACCTTCGCAAATTTGAATTGAATAGGTGCGGTTATTGGGGACCTCCGTAAGGTGCAGAAGTGCTATGGATACACATGATTGGAGGGCTCAATTACTGCCTCATATTCGCCAAAGCAAAGTCGATGAAATTTAGGTCTAAATTCTCTATTTGATTAATAAGATGGTCTGAGTAGTATCTGCTTTGAGATGTCATCTGTGCAAACTGTTGATGCTGTCTTAACATCCCCCCGTTTGTCATGGACGCTTAAATTTATTTCATCACAAAACATATATCATTGAATCCATAGTAAAGGAGCTATAACAGGCATTGCATGTCATTGGCAAACCCATCAAACCGCTGATTCTTCTATTTGCTGGTTCAGGAACCATATTACTTGATTTATTCAATTTCTCTTGACACGCTAGTGTTTTCCATTTATAGACAATGCTGGACATTTCTATTTCAAACTTTCAACGCTGGATGTGAGCTCCATTCAAGATTTCTAGAAGGCAGTGTTATCTTATCTTTACCCGTAGCCTTGGTTGGGGGACTAGGAACTATTTTGGTGTTCTATATATTGTCGTTATGACCTTGAAAGCTGCTGATATTTGTTGTTACATTTCACTTTGGCCCAAAATATTTGGAATAAAATGTGTGTTATATGCCTATCTTGGGTGTGAACTAGATAAGTTTTAATGGATTTTGGAAAAGGAAGACGTTTATAATTGTCAGGTGCTAGGATGATGACACAAGTCTTCAACAATCCACTCTAGATGATATGTTTGCTTATCATTTATTTTTTTTTCAGTTATATCCTTATTTTACGCTCACTCTGATCCCTATTATGGGGCTCCTTTTGGAAGAACTTGTTAGTTCTTAGCATAAGCTACTTGATGAAGTATTAATTATATTTTTATAATATTACCCTAATTTCAACTCATTAATTATGAGAGAAGATGTAATGCAAATTAAAAAAAAAAAAGAAATTCATTTAAAATTTTATAGCACTTATGTCTATCTTTTTTTTTTTTCTTTAATCCAAGTCATTAAAACATCTCCATTCTATTCACATTCATTTCTCTCAAATCAGGAGAGAATTAATGTCCTGTCCATCGCATGGCGTAATATCTAGTTCCTTTTGGAAAATGTGAAGGGCATGAACGGTGCCTTGTGGATCATGCTTGTTATTTGGAGGACTGTCTGATGCTATATGCTTCCCTATGAGTTATAGTAATTAAACTGGTGTTATTCACCTTATAGATTGGAAACATTGAGAAGACATCTTCCTGTTTCTGGCCAAGATGGATTAGATGAACTTCGTAAAATTGCTGCAAGATTTGAGGAGAAGATTTACGATGCAGCAACGAGCCAGGTGGAGTCATCACAGTTCTAAGGAGATGAATTATGATATTTTGTCTTGTACAATATCATGGATTGCCATGATTTCTTGCATCTCATGCATTTCCTAATTTCAGCCTGATTATCTTCGGAAAATATCCTTGAAGATGCTGACAATGGAAGCTAAAGGCCAGAACACCATAGCAAACCCAAACCCTATGCCATCAAACTTTGGTGACAACAGGGATGGTCCTTCAGATACAGGTATTGTCATTCAAAGGCTTTGCTGCAGATGACATATGCAAAGTGATAACTGATAGTGCTTTGATCTGTATGCTTTATTGTCTTGAAAGGATACACATTTTTTTAATGTTATTTGTGGTAAAAAGTAAATCAAGTTTTTCCGTTGGCGAATAGGTTCTGCTTGGGAGGTTCAAGTGCCGGAAAGGGAGGTGATATGATCAGAAGGAGAAAGAGAAATGCTTGAGTAAGACAATATGTAATAAAAAGGAAGCAATCACAGTGACTAATTGACTTTGTCATCTATTGATAGCTCTTTTGTTATGATACTCATTTCCTCAAACCATTGCAAATGATGAGGACTAAATGTTTGTGATGACAATATTTTATTTGAATTCAAGTGTTTTCTGTATCTGTAGTGTATGGTTATGCAATATTGTCTTATAAGGCCTCTGGCGTAACTTGAAGGAATGTGCTCGAAGAAGATTTGGAGTGACTTCTCTGGACCCAGAAAGAAAGATTTTTTTTTTTTTAATTCCAGAAAGAATTTTGTTGTGCTGATGTTTTCCTTCTCAACTTTGAACTTTTTAACCAACTCTGTCAAGTTGGAATAAATAGGTGGTGAAAAAAAGCCTCTATCAAGCATAAATGATGCCAATGGCCTTTTAACCTAGTAGCATGGAAGGCTTTTTTTGGTAAATGAGATGTTGTGCGTTCAGTCTCACTTGTAAACTCAAATTATTAGTACCTTTTCTTTTAATTCAAAAAAAAAAAAGCATAAACAAGGACAGAATGAAGTCATATTTATTGTAGATTATTGATTTTTATGCAAAGGATTGTTTGGATATTAAAGAAACCATGAGTTTTTATTCATAATTGATTTTAGTATGTATGATGGGTGTTTATACATTTTTAAGAAGGATTTACATCCTCTAAAATTGATATTAATGAATTTGTGCGAAGTTTTTCTTTTTTTTTTTTTGGTATTTTCTCTCATTTTTTTATAAGACATAAAATCTTCTCTCTCATTTTTAAAGATGTAAACTTCATGAAATTTAATCTTAAAGGATGCATTCATTTTTTTTAAATAATGATTTTGGATTCATAAAGGGGTATTTAAATATATTTTTATAATATTATGGTTTTGTCTAACTTTTAATGTCACAAAAATACAATCAATTATATTTAAAATTATTTTAATAGTATTAAAATTGGCAGTTAAAACTGCTTTGCAATGAGTAATAATAAAACGGTTGAACCGAAAAGGCGGGGACACGTCGTCATTTCGTGCCTATGAAGCTCTGCAAGTATTGCCTCGCGGCTTCCCTCTCAAGTCTCATCCCTCACTCCACCAGTCGCTCATGCTCTCGCCCTCCATTTGCTCGGCGCTTCGATCATCAAAAAAAGCTCCGTCGACTTCTTTATTGAGAAGAGTATACGAGGTATCCAATAGTATTTTGAGTGAGGTCATCGCTTTTCATTGAATATTTGTCAGTTTTTTTCCTCCTAATGTAGATAATGAATACATGATCAAGTTTGAGCCGTCGGAAGACCGCAAGATTTTACTCCATCTTGATATGTAGTACGGCCATAATAGCCCTGACCTTTGATCTTTTGGTTTCTTTCAACCTTTTGCCTTCCCATTGTATTCAAAAAAGGAAAGGAGCAAAAAAAATATTTGTCATCTTATTTTATGGAAGAACGGATTTTGAAAGGGTTTTATAGGGGTGCTCAATTTTGAATAGAGGAAAGGTATTGAAGATGTAATTTGCTAAAATATAGTAAATTGTTGAAGGCCAGCATATTTTGATAGAACTGTTTGGGTCCATAACATCTAGGCCGTACCTCTACTATCTATTAATTTCAATAACAAACTACTCCCTCCACTCATAGTCATAAGTCACTCTCTCGATGTAATTGATGATCCTTTTTATGGATCATTCTTTGTTAAAAAAAAGAGGATTATTTATTTCTTTCTTCTAATTTTATCCTTTTGTAATTTTCTCTGAGTAGATTAAAAGGTTCTGTATGAGAAACAACGTGATTTTAAAGATGATGCGGTAATAAGGATAACTTAAGAAATTTTTTTCTTTTTCAAATAATATTGATAATTTAAGTACCTCACCCAACTAAGGACCAGGGGGGCTATTTTATAATTGATTTTTTTTACCAAACTATTTTATAATTGATTTGACTGCATTCAAAATTTTTAGCCTTGGTGTTTTTAGGATGTGAAGATAAAACTTGTAATTGATTCTTGATGACTGGCTTGGTTTAGTGGCAGTGGATATATGCATGACAGTAATTTTCAATTTTCTGTCGATTACCTTTGTATTGACATATCTACACGTGCCATCCCCTTTTATATTTTTCTTTATACATGTCTGACTTGATTTAATTGAACTAGTTTTGTGATTTGAGTAAATTTATATTTGATAGGTACCAATAATTGGAGACTTGCACTAGGTGGAGCGCTAACTATGGATCAAATTGATTGAAGAAATGAATTGAAGCCTTACTCCCGCAGAAGATCTGTTAAACAAATGTAGGCCTAATTCTCTTTTTGTATTACTTTGATAATCTCAAAAGCTTTTGCTTTGGTTCTGTAGTTGCTGTAAAATGGAAATGCTGCCATCAAACAGCCCATGTGTATTTTGTAAAATTAATCTAATAATAAAATGTTCATTATTGGTGAAGGAGCTATAGCAGACTGCTGATGTCATTGTACACGATTCGATAACTTATAATGCTATTGGTTATGTATTTTTTATGTAACTTTTAAAATAAAAGTTGAAAGAAAAGAGAAAATTGAAGTTGCATATTAGTAATGTATTTTCATTTCAGGCATAGTTATTAATAGCACTACAGTAGCTCATTGCAATGGAACCTGGTTCTTGACCACTTGTCTTGCACGGCAACTTTCATATAGCTCTTATGTAGCTATGCTATATGAGCTACTTTGAGTTGCTGTAATTCTATAATGCAATATAACCATTTTGATGAAGATGAATTGCAAGAACTTGCAAAAATTTGCCCATTGTAACGAGCAGAAGATTTTTGCTATGCTCATATTTTTAATCTTGAAATTATCATTATCATTGATGTCACCTATGTTGACAAATTGAATGTAGAAGACTCAGCATGTAATGAGGTATCCCTTTGTTATGTTTCTGTATTGTATTAATCGGTTTTCACTACATAGATTTCCTTAAACTTATTTCTTTTATTTTTCCAATTTCAGTTGGATTATTTGCAGCAAGTAAGAACGAAGGCAATTTCAATGCATAGTAAGTCTCTAAATTTGATTGTCAAGTATATAGTACCAAATTCAGTTATTAGCCTATTTCAGATTTTACTTATTGGAGGTTTCTTTATTTGTAAGACATCTGTAATTAATTTTTTCTGTTAGTGCAAACAGACTGTTAATGACACAACCTTCTCTTTCATGCAGTTCTTGTTATTGATTTGACTTTCAGTAGTTGACACATGGAATTAGCTTTTTTATTTTCAATTAATTGTAGTGAAAGTCAATTATGTGCACTATATTATTGATTCAAATGGCTTGTTAAGTGATAAATGTGTAATTATGCTTGTGCGACGTGTTGTTAATTTGAGTTGGTGATTCCTATTCCCTTAACAAACAGAGATTTACTTTTCACCTGTAACTTTTTGGGTAACTTATATTTATTGAAAGAAAAAATTTATATACTTAACCTTATATACTTAAAATACTTGTTTTCAATTGAATTAAGACATGTGGATTTTTTATAAATTATTTATTCTGTAACAAACTCTTATTATTAATATTATATATTAACACATTAAAATCTACTTGTTTTGATTTGATTGAAGTTCTATAGTGAGAAGCTTTGATTTTGCTATATTTCATAATTCATAAATTTATTTTTAGCAGTCGGTGGAACAATATGTCGGAGTTTCTTACAATTGCCTTATCTGTTCTATTTCCTTTTAAATAAGCAAATGGTGAGTGATGTTCTACTTTATTTATTTGAGCAATATGTGCTCATATATGTTTGAAATAGTATTTGTTACCGGGAAAATGCAAGAAGAATTCTTCCAAAAGGTAAATATCCCATTTCTTATCACTTTTATTTCCTCATTAAATTTGCTAGAACAACAAAGAATAGTGAGATAAACCCAAAAGTAAGTATTTAAGAGCCCTTTGGTTGATGTTGAGGAAAATTATGGACATTATACAAAACCGACATTTGACAATGTTAAATTATAATGGCATGTTCAATTATTTGCAATCTTGACATACTCTGTAGTGAAAGAGAGCTAATTGCAGGGTTTGAATGTTTTGATTTTATGATTGTGTTTATTACAACTTACAAATGCAAATGTGGAAGGAAACGTACTTGCCAGATTTGAAGGAAATGCACCAGATAATTGCATGTGGACTTCAGCAGGTATGTTAGGTACACGTTTTTTGAAGTTAACAATGTTAACACCACCACGGATAAAGCTGTCTTTTTTGAGTTCTTCCTTGTTATTATGTTTGTAACTGATACATGTGCTTTTCAGCCATATTAACCAGTGCCAACCTCCATGAAACCACTTCGATTAGGTTCGCTTAAAACTTAATCTCATATAGTTGTATTTAGCTATGTTTCTGCGTGTCTTCTACTAGCTTGACTGTGCTTTCCTAATTCCTAGTTGAAGATGATTATATGTTGATGAGTTTGCTTCTTTATGACTTATTAACATAACCGTATTTGTGTTCGTATCTGTATTACCCAATCAGCTCAACTCTCACTTGCAACAAGCAGATTTATATAAGCGTGAAAGGATGCTGAGGATAATTAAAGCAATGCTTAAGGAGATCATACCAGCCCAAGAGACTTGCAGGAGCGAGAAATTACTTTTCCCTTAAGAGCGGATTCTAAATTTTGTAAATAGATATAGACCCTGGATATTGTCGCTGCAGCCAGTACATGGTCCCCCACATGCTATGCTCACTCTCCTTGCCCCAGTGATAAGAATCAACTTCTTTAGATACTGTTTGGCGTGTCGAAAAGTGTTTTCTAAAAAGAAATGTGAAATGTACCTAAAAAGAAATTGAGATAGGTGCTTTTCTCATTGCAATTGGTTTAGTCTAGGAAAAGCCATGATGGTCCTTCAGTGGAGTAAGGCCAATAATGGCATGACAAGTAGCTTCTATGTAGTTGTGTTATGTGATGTGTTGTAAGGGTGAACAAAACTAAACCAAAATTATAAATCAAATGAAATTTTTGTTATTTGATTCAGTTTATTCAATTTTTTAGTTTGATTCTTTTTTTTAAAATATTTCGATTCAATTTGATTAGTAAGATTTAAAATTGAATAGACCAAACAAACTGAATTATCTCTATATATATATATATATATATAATTTATTAATTTAAAAAATATATTTAGTTTATTAATTATTTTATTTTGTTTTATTATTTTAAATTTTATACTTGAACAAAAGTAAACATATAATATGATAAGTTGAAACACTAAACCTTCATTAAAATGAGCTATTACTTTACAAACTCAATTTTATATATATGCCTCATTTGTTTTAGTTAAAA